CCCGCAGCCATCACTGCCCAGACTGTTTCCTGTCCAAGAAGGCTCCAGTCAAACTTTGCCCCCTAATGAGAAAAGGCAGCAGAAGATAGACAAATAAATAAGAGGAACAAAACGGTGAAAAAAAAAAAAAACAAAAAAAAAAACATCATCATTTTCATACAGGGACAATTGCGATTTAAAGGTGCACTGCGTAACATTTCTAGTATAGAGTCTGCTTGTCTCCAAATGTTATTGCTTAGTCTAGAATAGATTAAACCTATTTATTACGACAGAGACGCTTCATTACAGTTCAGATCTGTGCAATGTCGCCTCTATTCACAGATGGATTTATTGTATTTTTGCGCAATAGAAACTAGACTGATTCATCAGCCGGTTTCACTTTGTGGAAAACCGTCTGACCTCGCAGCATTAGGTCTCATTCGCTCAACGGTAGGCGGGTACTTTTTTTAAATTAACCAATCGCTGCTATTTAGTCGTGACGTATGTAGGCCTAATGCGCCAGTAACGGGGCTAACTGGTGCATTAAGCTTTTCCCAGATCCCATAGGAAGAAGGGCAATAATGTCATTCCGCTTGATAAAATTCACCAAACATTCTCTTTGTTCCAGCTTTAAATCCTCGATCTTGGGAATTGTTGCCAACACAGAATATATGGCTCTTCGCTGACTGGCTGATGCCCGAACTCGCACTCCTGGGATTCTTACAAACCATCTAGTGTGTTCCGATTCCTGACCTAGTCGCTGGAGAGAAAGACAGCCCGGCTAAATAGAAACACCCGTATGAATAAAAGCTAGATGTTTAATGTCATACCATGGAATATTTCAGGCAAAGCGCTAAGACCTCCATGGAGACAAGCATGTAGCGGACCCTTCATCAGAAAAGTCGCGCGGTACACCTTTAAACCAGACCAGTTAAGCAAAATTTACTTTTCAGAGCTTGTTATAGTTGTTTTATCACTAATTGGAGGTGGAAAAATTGCACATGCACCCACCACAAGACCTGGAAAATTTCTTCTATTTTTTGTACCAGAATACAGTTACTCAAAAGTATTCTCGGTACATGCATTCAGTTAGTTCCCCACTGCCCTTTCTCATTAAGTTGAAGTGATTTGTGCAAGTCTGAGTAATCTTTAATCACTTTTTTTAAGACGCAATATTACAGATCAACTTCTGTGTTCACTGTAACCCGCCTCTGCGCTGTACTTACTTCATTCTTCAAATTTCTTAACCTGTAATATGCGTAGGCAGTGCTGGGAACTAACTGAATACGTGTACTGAAAATACACATTCTGAATACTAATTCTGAGTGGGCGTATTCCAGTACAAAAATTAGAAAACACTGCTCGGTCTTGTAGCGTGTGCATGTGCAATTTTTCCATCTCCAATTAGTGATAAAACATAAAGATGTTTCACTCCTATGTTGCTTTTTTACACTATAATTTAGTAAGTATTAAGTATTCAGAATGCAGTACTAGACCATATTACAAAATACATGGCATACATTTCAATGCAGGTATTCAGTATTCTGGAAAGAAATACACTTACAAAGTATTCTTACCATCAACAGTGTCATGTACAGTCACTTTGGTACAAATGAAATCAAATCTGCAGATGATGATCTTTACAGCACCGTCAGTTCCCAAGACACAAACCCTGCGTATTTAGGCTGCGCTCTTCTCTCAAACTGAAAACACTCCGTTCTACATTGTGATACCATGTTGTAATACAGGAAGTGCTCCACTGTGTTTTTAAACTCCACACACCTTCACTAGAATCATTTGGATAATTTCAGACTTGCAGCTGCCAATCTCCACTGAACTAAAGGCACAGGTGAAACGGAGTCTTTGTTTTGCAAGTCTCAAGTAAGTCTCAAGTCTTTGACCTCAAGTCCGAGTCAGGTTCCAAGTCAAATACAGGCAAGTCCAAGTCGAGTCTCAAGTCACTGGCCCGTAAGTCCAAATCAAGTCCAAGTCATCGGCTTTGGGATTCAACTCAGTTCAAGTCTTTAAACCAGGGGTGTCAAACTCATTTTGGTCCGGGGGCCGTATCCAACCTACTTTGATCCCAAAGGGGCCGGATCAGAAAACTCATGGCATATAAACCCCAAAAATAACAATAAGTTCAAATATTTGTGCAGAGAAACACAAATCTATTACACAAATCTTTTTTAACTGATGAACTCTTTCTTTTACAAAATATAATATTATGAACAACCTGAAACTTAAGAAAAAAACAATTTCAACACAATGTTTTAACATGAACTTGTATGAAAACAGGAATAAGTCAGTTTTTGTTGTAAAATCCTGCACTCGGCTCCACTTTTCTCATTTGGACATTTTTCTGATGAGGGTGTCACGGTCAACAGTCAAAACGATCGTCCTTTAAGAGCGTTTGGAAAGAGACAATCTTCATTTGTGCTGCTCTGGTGGGAGGGGCCACGTACAGAGACGCTGGAGACGCTGCTGTGATAAACACCACAGAAAATTAACAATATTTTAATTGAAAATATAATTACAATATTTTAGTAGAAAATCAGCTGAGGGTCAGATTAAAGGTCTTGGAGGGCCGGATCTGGCCCCCGGGCCGTATGTTTGACACCTGTGCTTTAAACCAAAGTAGATTTTTGTAATTTATATGGCTAAATTGGATAAATTGTACTTAAAACATCAAAGTATATTTATATATGAGTATTTATAGAGTACATAAGAGTTGTAGAAATTAATTTAGTACATTTTTCCTTTTTAAATGTCTTGACAAGATCTTAGTATGAATCATTATGGTGAAAATAGAAAGAATTCAGATTTAAAAGTGTTTCTCAAGTCACAGGCCTCATGTCCGGGTCAAGTACCAAGTCGCTGACCTTCAAGTCCAAGTCGAGTCCCAAGTCTTAGTTCATTTCGTCAAGTCAAGACTCAGGTATGACTCGAGTCCAAGTCACGACTTGCAAGCCCCCACCTCGGTCAAAAGGTTAAGTAGTTGTTAACTTGGAAACTACCACTTCTTGACATCGCAAGGTGGAACAGAGCATTTTGAGCTTTGAAGATGTACAGACTAATATTAAAGAGTTACTCAAACACAACTCCAGTTATGTTTTTGAGGAAGTAACAACATTCTAACATGGCTAAAAGCTCATAATAGTCGATTTCATATATTACAGGAACTTTAATGATTGTTGCGTCATGTGTTATGCAGTACAAATGAAGTAAGATACTGATGACATTTACAGCGATGTCGGCTCCCATTGGGCACAGTAGTTTTCCAACACGTAAATCAGCGGACTTGTTTCTTTTATTAAGTCGTTTTAGATGAATATTGCGAGTTTATAATGCCCAAATGATAGCATCATGACGTACGGGATCAGCAGACACAGGCACAGTCGATCGGTCCTCTTTGATGCCGTCCCAAGATGTACCAACCGACGCTATGGAAAAACCATTAAAAATAAAATACAAACAAACAGCCGTGTGATGGAGAACTGAAGACTTAATCCGATTAGCGTCAATTTCCCTGTATTAATATGATTCAAAAAGCAAAAACAACAGCATGAGGGCTACCACTTAAGCTCTTCTCTGGAAATGTGATAGTTTTACACACAAAACCAAGGGGGCACCCAGCTGACATCACCTCCACAGATTATGCAATATCACCTTTTTCTGAACAAATGCATAGGTGCGGATTTTAAAGTTTTATTCTTAACAACAGCAGTCCAAAATTACAGTTAGAACATGACAACTCAACAACTAATTTGTGTTACTAAATATGATAGATTTTTATATTTTTTAATAACTTCTTTTACAATTATTTGCATGATCGCATATGAAAAAGAAGACAGATATTTTACTGCTAGTGGTGGATGAAGTATTCAGTTTTGTTACTTAAGTAAAAGTACAGATACAGTGAAAGTAAAAGTTTACCCAAGTATAAGTAAAAGAATCACTTGAAAAAATCGACTTAGGTTTAGTAGTTAGTAGGTTTAATTTAGTTAGTAGGTTTAGTTTAGGTAGTTAGTATTTAAGTACCTGTTTAAAAATGTACTTCAAGAGTAAAAAGTAAAAGTATTTCATGTATTTCAAGTATTATTCATTTGTTAAAAAAGTAGTGATATTAATTAAAAATAAATATTTGATCAACAGTAGTAAAAGGAATCAGTTTCTTAACTGTGATTTTTAGGACTTTTGTCGATTTATATTTGTTTGCTGAAAGTACAATTTTAAACTCAAAAACTTTTGTCAGAATGTTAAATGTGAAAATAACATAATATGAAAAGTACTTTTTGCCTTTCGGTCCAGTTCAAAAATAATCGAGTAGAAAGCACAAATACCTGCTCTCAAATGTAGTTGAAGTAAAAGAAAAAAAAACAAAACATCCACTATAAAATGTACCTAAGTAACGAACAAATACTAAAAATGTTTACAAAGTGCAGTATTTTAGCCTACTACTTGTACTTTGTTACCTTTCACCGCTGCTTACTGCAAACTTCCATCCTTCTTATCTCCGTGGAGAAAGTTTAATACCATATTGTGGAACATTCCGGAGACATGTGGGCAGCGGACTCTCCACTAGAAAAGTTACACAGTGCACCTTTAATAACTTTTAATATATAGTTCATAAGACAACAGTTTCAATGTAATTAAACAAAGTAAACAAAAGGAAAAAAGTCAGAGAGAGGACAGAGGTGTGCAGCCATGTTCTCTCGTAAAAAAACTGAAAAACATACAGACCGACTAACAACAAAGACTTACTCTGTAGTAACTGGAGCATAGAGGCCACTTCACTGACTAGAAACGAAACATTAAATTTCTCACAAAGCGTCAGTTCAACATTTAGTATAGAATAGATTATAGAACATGAACGCGTAAAGAAACACATTATCTATTTTTTTCTAATGAAAGCTATATTTAGTTACTGTACGAGCAAACTTTAAATCAACACTACTTATTTTTCTCCCGCAGTCACTGAAAGCAGCCACGCCTCACTCAGATTTCAGCCCGCACTGATTGGTCAAGTCGTGCGTGTCACCGTGATGTGCGTAAATACTCCTACGTACAACTTGACAGTCCCATAACAAACCACTCGCCCGAGCCAACCTCAGTGTAGCGCTCCACTGCCTCGGCCGCAACTTCTCCAGCGGTTTTGCCTCTTTGGATTTACTCGTTTTCGGAATAGTAGCGACGCGGAGCCGACATGTCCTCCCGCGAGAGTTTTAAGGACTTGGGCAGCGGTAGTTTATCATCCGAGGAGGACTGCAGCGCGCGCTCGGACGTGACCGATACGGGGCCGGCGGAGGAGGAGAAAGCGAGCTCCCCGACGTCTCCATCCGCGCTTCGGCATCACCCCTTCAGCGTGGAGGCGATCATGTCCGGGAGGGTGGTGTCCAGGCGGAGCGCGGAGCCGGTGTGCCGCAAAGAGGTGCCCAGAAGCCCGCTCAACCCGCTGTATCTGTGCCGGGAGAGCGAAGCGAGCCGGAAAAGTTTGAGCGCGTCTTCGCCAACTTCGCCCGTCAAGTCTGAAGCGTCCGAGCCGGAGGAGTGCACGCCTTGGGTCACCAACGGAGCGTACCCCTCACAGCCGCGTAAGTTCTCCCATCAAAACGTCTCCAAAAATATCCAGACTTTGGACCAAAATGCCCCAAACATTTTAAGATACAACTACAGATTGCAATAAAGCTAATTTGTTTACAATAATATGTTGACGAAACTATGATGGACAAAGTAGATAAGATTCAAATTTGAGACTTTGTAAATTTGCATTTGTCAAGTTGATGGATCACTTTAATAAATTAGGATTTAAGAAGATCCTAACTGAATCTTACCCCCACACAACTATTAACGAGCTTAAGCTTAATCCTTCGTAATAACGTGAGGTCAAAAAGAAAGAAGAAATATAATGAAGCAAATTATTTGAAATGTGTTTTGCAGGCGTCCATTGTAATTATTTACTACTGTAACACTGCACCAATTAGCCTATCATTAAATCAATTGAAATAATTAAAAGTTTTACAGGGCTTGCCAACTTTGTGCCATCTTTGACCCAGTGTAATTATGATTTGATGGAGGTGTAATAAAGATTTTATTACATAATTGTATCAGATCACTTGTAGTTTACGTCAATTGTATTCAAAACTAGAAATTAATATAATTGCTTGTCGAACTTAGTGCACCCAATTAAAAAAAAGGAATCTTGTCTGTGTCAAAGTTACACAAGATTACTGACAGAATAAAGCTGTCATTGTCTTATCCTAACCTACTTCTGCAAGTGTTGATTAGATAAGATAATATGTGTGCTAAACTTCATAAAACTTAACATTTCCAAGGAGTAAACTCACTTTTTATGTATTATAGCTAAATATTTTCTCTTGTGATCCTACAGGCCACATCAACCCAGGATGCCAGCTCCGAAAACACAAGACCAACCGTAAGCCCCGCACGCCCTTCACCACGTCCCAGCTGCTGGCGTTGGAACGAAAATTCCGTCAGAAACAGTACCTGTCTATAGCCGAGCGCGCCGAGTTCTCCTCTTCACTCACCCTCACGGAGACGCAGGTCAAAATCTGGTTCCAAAATCGCAGAGCCAAAGCCAAACGACTACAGGAGGCCGAACTGGAGAAACTCAAGATGGCCGCCGACGCCAAAACCGCCGCCGTGGCTGCTGCTGCAAACGCCGGAGCGCTACACCCGGGCTTCACCTTACCTCTCTCCCTGGGGGCCATGTCTCTGTACGGACAGTCGTATTCAGCGTACCACCACCAGCACAGACCTCTGCTCCCCCTGTCTCCTCTAGGACTCTACGCGTCTCCCCTCAGCTACGGCATGTACCACTTATCCTAACAGAAAGCGTCACTGACTTTTTTTTTGGACTTGAGAAACATTTTGGAGGATATTTTAAAGGAAAAATACATAATTTAACACGTCGCTTTAATGAGCTTCCGGGTTCACCAGCCAATCTTCTCCCTCCCATTGTGCATTGATGTTGCCGTTTAAGCCGGATGCCTTATCTGATGCAGCCCGGGCCCGGTCGGTCTATCTCTCCAGGCAGAGGGACACGTGTAACTCTGAGTTGGTTGTAGATTTTGTACCGGATGCCCTGCCTGTCTGTGCTATGACATCTGGAGTTGCCAAAAAAGCGAAAAGCAATTAAAAGCGTCAACGTTTGAAGTCCTGATGTCTCCGTGTTGGCTATGCCCTGATCGTGTACGTCAAGAAAGAAATGAACTGACGCTAAGAGGCTTGTTAAGCGTTCGCGGTTGGACTTTTCCCATGTTCATTTTAATCCACTGCACGGTCAGGGGGTGGTTGACTTCTTCCAAGGGCACTTCAAATCGAGAGACAAATCAAGACTTTTAAACAAGGATATTTTTGCGTCCTTCCTGGCTGACTGCGTGTTTACATTGTGAGTGAAGAGGGGCGTGCACCGCTGAGCTTTTTATAGTCTCCACTTGTTTACTTTTGCAATAATTGAAATGACTGAGGACTCGCAATATTCACTTAAGCCTTTTCCTCCAAGACTGCCTTAAAATAGACACTTTTTCTGGCTCTTTCTTGATGGAGTGAGTGTTTTCAGCGACTCAGGCTAAATGAAACATATTACTGATTCACTCAATTTGACTCCCAAGAAAGCACGGTTGCCTTAACTCTTTTCTGTTTCCCTTTTTGCCCAAGCAATACATACCCTTTTCACTCCTCGTTTTTTACCTTTTAGGCTTCATAGATCAAGCCTAGATGTATTTATTCTTTATGAAAAATTATGCTGGAAATGTATGAATGTGTCACAAAGTCTATTTATGATCTTAATAGAAAAAAAATTATGGTACAAAGAACTACGGACCAAAATTGCTTTATTGTTAAAAACTAATGGACTCCCTTTTGAACGGGGCCACACTATGCAGTCTATATTTTTTCCTAATGTCTTATGTAAAGTCTTCCACGATGTTGATTTTAATGTTCTTGAAATAAATAATGAATAAAGCCAGTATGTTTTCTAAATGTTTGCTTGCGTGCATGTGTGAACGGTACAGGTACATGTCAGGTTTACAATCCGAGCTGTAATGTTAGAGCGACTGTAAATTACACATTATCCGAGCTGACAAACACTTCCTCTTATTACCGAGAGATTACAACAAGTATTTTCCCCACAGCGAAGTTTGTTCACACGGACATGCCATAAAGCGTCTAAACCCTTCGCCTTTTCTTGACATTTGTAACTCTATTTATTACGGGGCCTGGCAGTCATTATAAAGGTTAATAGAAGATAAGGGAACGAAATGTGTCAACTGTAAAGAGATAGGGACAAAACAGGAATCTGTTATGATGTGATGGATGCGCTGGAGCGTAGCCGTATACAACGTCTCATGACAGTTCTACAAAAATACTGATAACATGAGTTTATATTAAAGGTGCACTGTGGGTATGTGTCTGCCACCAGCTTGTTTCCATGGAAATGTAATTTTGTAAAACTTTGTAATATTTCAGTCATTAAACTTTTCATGAAGGCTAGTATACGTTAACTAGGACAAGTAATAATAATAATAAGACTAATTTTACTATTGTTTTATGTTGTGTTGCATCGCCGACATGTATACTGTGCGATTTTTGGCCCTTGTGCAACTGTTTTTGGGATCGGGCCAAGTTTTGTCTTAATCGCGCGTCGTGCTTGGCGTAGTATGCATGGGGTAACGAGAACCGATTAATTTTCATGACCAGCTCCCGATCAGCAATCGTAGGTCGCAAGTTTATCAAACCTGTTTGAAATCCAGTCGCCTCTCGTGAGGGTTTTGCAAAGTTGAAGTAGTTCCATGAGCTGTCAACTTTTAAACCTTGAGATTCGGTCGTAAAGTTTGAGTAAAATGAAACGATCGGAAAATATCACACAGTGTATGTCCGGCCTTATGTGGGCTAGTTTCAAAATGGACATATTTTCTTTCGCACCATCAGTCAAATTTTCTTTCTGTAACGGTTCTATGTCGAGAAATAAAATATAGCCTACTAATAGTGTAAATAAATGAAAATAGGCTAGACTTAAATAAATAAAGAGCAGCCAAGAAAAACTTTTAAAACAAGCTGTGTTTTTATTCACTTCACACATTTAACTCTTGGCATTTATTAACAAGCTAACAACAAACTTATCAAGAAACACACGGCCCCATTTGTCAAAGTTACGTCCGAATCCATCCCGTTTACGCGCCTCTATTAGCGCAGAGTTCACTTCCTCCTCGTTAACCTTAATATCAATGGCCATTAGGGCTCGCTCTTAAATTAGCCACCGGAGCTGTCCCGCCAGGTTTACGGAGGGTTTCGAGGGGAGACTGTGGCCGCTGAAGGGGCTGCCTGCGCTTTGTAGCAATTACGATCGCGGCTTGCAACATCCGCGCCACTTTGATGTAACGGGGAAATGGTTTATGGCGCGCGGCGTATTTACAAGGTTCCCGGTCTCTAATCAGAATAGGGCCTAAGCTAGTGGCACCAGCAAACAGACGGGCAATCACGATAATCAAGTGCACATTGGCGTGGAGAGTGCGTGAGATAACCACTGCCGCAGAGGGGGAGAACGCCGCCAGCAGGGGGCGTGGTGAGTGGTCCACGGTGCGTGTTGTTGGGGGGGGGGGGGGGTCGTCAGTAGGTCTATCTGTATGTAATCTTGGTAATAGTAGTAGTAGTAGAAGTACTGCTGTCGCTCTTGACTGCTTAAAGGTGCACCACGTTCGGCTCAGGTCTCAGCACTGGATCCGGTGGCTCGGAGAACAGACAAAGCGGCGCTGTTTGTGTTTGTGTACAAGTTAGGGATGTGTATTTAAATCTCATGCTACGATACAATTACGATATTCATTTCACGATACGATATTTACTGCGATCTGCTGTTATATGCTGTTATACTGTTCTAGTTCGAGAGCTTAAGATAGAAAAGTTCTTTAACTGTTTTCTGCGTTGAAATGGAACAAAAGATCTATACATTTTTTGCTGTTGCTACAATAAAATAATGAATTTAAGCAAAGAAGTGTATAAATCGATATATTGTGATGGTCCACGATATTATTGTGAGAACTTTGACAGGACGATATCAAGATATTTTGGTTATTGTCACATCCCTAGTACAAGCACCAAAGTATATTTCTGACATGTTAGTATCATCAGTGGCGGAGTTAGCAATTTGGGGGCCCTAGTCGAACTTGAGTTTGGGGCCCTCACTATAATGCACTTTTTTGTTGAGTTTTTTTTTTTTAAATTGTCTGTTTTTTCCCTATTTTCTTAAGACACTCACAACTCGATTGATTTGAATTATAGTGGATTAGAAACTTATTAGTTCAGTCGCCTACTAGATAACCAGAGCTGAAAGTAGTTTTATTTTTACATACACATTTTTGTTTACATCCATTACATATAATCATGATTATGATTATGTTCAAGTCAGGGTCAAGCTGACTAGTCTATTCTAATGTGAAAAGGTGAATACTTTGACAGTTAAATTAAATTTGATAATCAGATAATATTTTTATGGTGTTTTTTGTTTAAAAGTAAACTACTCTCATTTAATGTCACATTGATAGAAAATCTAATTGCTCTGAGGACTCGGCCATTAGTGGCACTGAAGCCAATTGGTTGGGGGCCCCTCTAGGTTCGGGGGCCCTATGCAGCCGCCTACTGTTGCCTAATGGTAGCACCGCCTCTGAGTGATGATCAATCTCACACTTGGAGAACCTCAGGGACTGGCCTCCTGCTGGTGCTCAGAGTAAGACTAAACCAGGTCTAAACCAGGACTAAACCTGGACTAAACCAAGACTAAACCAAGACTAAATCAGGACTAAACCAAGACTAAACCAGGACTAAACCAGGACTAAACCCTGGACTAAACTAAGACTAAATCAGGACTAAACCAAGACTAAACCAGGTCTAAACCAGAACTAAACCAGGTCTAAACAAGGACTAAACCCTGGACTAAACCAAGACTAAACCAAGACTAAATCAGGATTAACCCAGGACTAAACCAAGACTAAACCAAGACTAAACCGGGACTAAAACCAAGACTAAACCAGGACTAAACCAGGACTAAACCAAGACTAAACCAAGACTAAACCAAGACTAAATCAGGATTAACCCAGGACTAAATCAAGGCTAAACCAGGACTAAACCAGGACTAAACCAGGTCTAAACCAGGACTAAACCCTGGACTAAACCAAGACTAAATCAGGACTAAACCCTGGACTAAACCAAGACTAAATCAGGATTAAATCCGGACTAAACCAGGTCTAAACCAGAATTAAACCAGGTCTAAACCAGGACTAAACCAGGTCTAAACCAGGTCTAAACCAGGACTAAGCCCTGGACTAAACCAAGACTAAACCAGGACTAAACCAGGTCTAAACCAGGACTAAACCAGGTCTAAACCAGGACTAAACCCTGGACTAAACCAAGACTAAACCAGGACTAAACCAGGACTAAACCAGGACTAAACCAAGACTAAACCAGGACTAGCCCAGGACTAAATCAGGACTAAGCATTGGAAGTCAGGATTTCAGTTTTATTCAGCTAAAACCAAGAACAGTCTTCCTGAACATGCGAGACAGCCCTCTACTTTGACTCTGTTTAAATCTCTTCTCATTTAATGTTAATTTGATGATGATTATTTATGTTTTGGTTTGTTTGCATAGGGACTTGAATGTCTTTCTTATTCAGTGAAGCACTTTGAATCATTTTGTTTACGGATTTTGCTACACAAATAAACTTGTCGTACCGTATTACTTATCTTGGAATGTTCCACAGTATAGCATTAAACATATCTATCTAAAGACCACCATGTAAAATTATAGGTCAGATCAAACTCCCTCCATTGTAAGTGTGCATGGTTTTCAAGTTGTTTTCTTTCTTTTGTTTTACTATTATTATTATTTGTAGCCGTAAAACACATGTGATTTATTTTGAAAGTAGCTTAATTTAGAGCTTAACACCAAGTTGTGGAACATTTCAGACAAAGCAACACTATTTCCATGGAGAAAAGTCGCAGGCCCTCCATGCGATAAGTTACATAAACAAAATTAAAACAAACATAACCAAAATTAGTTTGATTTTGCTCAAGATATTTAAGTCTGTAATGTGAAAAAGCGGGCCTTTCTATTGGAGCTACAGGAGTTTTCTGAAGTTTGTCCTGTGTAAACTGATAAACAGTGTCCATCTTCTATGAATATATGTGCCTACAACTCCCTCTAGTGGTCAAAAGTCTTACCACATCTTTATTACAGTGTTCAAATGCAGATCCACTTACAAAACTCACTTATATAATAACACATTCAGAAAGCGTAAGAGCTGACCCAGGCGACATGAGAAGCTAAAACTCTCCGAATCCATTTCTATTTTTACAACTTTATAAGGCAAACTGCTGTGGCGACCGTTCACAGCGAGATGGCGAGATGTCTGTATCTCTGTCTCTGTCACAGTTTTCTTTTCGGCTTACTCATTTTCACTTGTTTACAGACGCTCATGACGCCCTGGGCACAGACCTCCCACTGAACAGACAGAAGACCCTCAGAATCTGCAGCTACAGAGGAGGACACGGGGCCGTCACTGACTCTCTGTGTGTGTGTGTGTGCGTGTGTGTGTAGTTCTAAATGTGTTGGAAATGTCCCCAGAGAGCCGCACGGGCAGAAGCAGATGTGGAGAATGGCCCCCAGCCGACAGGCCAGTGAACGAACACACTATAGACTAAACAAATACTGACGGGATTATGCTGTGACCAATAGCTTAGGAAAAACAAATTTTTAAACATTCATTACACTCTATCTGATCAAAGGGGATCAGACTATGGTGCCAAGTTACAGTCTTGTTTATGTTTCATTTTCATACATTTCTTATCATGATTTGTAACTTAATATTGTAACTACACTACATTGGAGAGAAAAAAAATATCACTTATCTCAATATAACAGTCAGTTGGCTCTGGGTCATATCACAAGTTAATATAATTTAAAGATATCACCCATC